AAAAAGTGGCCGTGTTTTAAGATGATGATGGGCAGCAGGAAGGGATTGTAGACTGTGTAGTGGACTGGTGGTGAAGGCAAAGATTAAACCTAGGGCCAAAAAGTAATGTATTTAGGGCCCCAGTGTTTGTTCTGTACTGATAACATAAATAAAGATAGGACGATGCCACGGTCCCCGTTACGGAACCATTCCGTCGGGGTTTGTAACCGTTATATCAATTATCTCTAACGGTTACATGATGATCTAACGGCTACAAACCCGATGGAATAGTTCCGTAACGGAACCTTAGCATTTCTCATAAAGATATGTACTGAAGTTGGTAGGAGCATTTGAGGTGGCAGTTTCGTAAATATTTCCATTGTCATGTAGAAGGTTTTATTTTTTTTCACATGATTTTTAGATTTTATTTGCTCTTAAAGTATTTCACAATTCTTTTTATTTTTAATTATTATTGGATTTTACCATCCATTCAACTATTTTGCATGTTTTACTATACGTTTTTGATAAGTTTTATGAAAATACGAAATTAATAATTAAATTATACATAAATTACAATAAACAAGTCGTACACTGAATAACGGTGCATTTTATACATAAATAAGCAGAATAAACTATAAATTCATCGTTTATAATTTATATACTGTAAAAATTAGGAAATTTTATAAACAAAAAGAAAAATCGACGTAATCTATATATCTATATCTATCTATATCTATATCTATATCTATATCTATATATATATAAAGAAATTGTTGGAAAAATCAATTATAGAAAGTTGTAAAAATTTAGTCAAATCATTTGACTTACCACTTGTAGAAATTTAGTTCAAAATTGAATTGTTGCATATCATCACGTGCATGTGTGTGTTACACATAGTTTGGAATAAACTACTTTCCCTCTTTTTCGTATTTAATTTTTAGATCTGTTCTCAAAAGTTTCGACTAGAACATTTTCAAATATTTAGTTTATATTTTAGCCATACTTATCTAAACCAAATCGGAAAAATATCATATTTTCATTGACTTAAAGAAATAAAGAAGCATGTGTCAATTTTAAAAATAATCGATTTCATTATTTTCAAAAATTATTTTAAATACTTTAACGATAATCACGTAAAACAAAGTAAATTTTTTTGTTAATTAAATTTAAGCAATTGTAAAGCGCGTAAGCACTTTTTTTTTTTAAATCACATTGCTTTCCCATTTCCTTAAAATTGAATTTACAAACACATGTCAGTTTTTTAAATAATCGTTTCATCATTTCCGGAAATTATTTTAAATATTTAAGACAATATCATGTAAAGCAAATTAAATTATTAGTTGTACATCGTTCATACCAATATATATATATATATATATATATATATATATATATATATAGTTTTTTTTGTAATAAATTTATACAAAAATTATCAATTAATTATTTGAAAAATTTATAATTTTTCAATTTTAAACTAATTGATAAATCATAAATCTCTATTATATTTAATTATATATTATTATTTATATTAAAAATATTGCTAAACTTAATAAAATTTATTTAAACAATCGTAGCGTCTTACCAGTCCAATGGACTGGTTTTGACTGGTTCGCGAGCAAACATTTTATTCAAGTAAACTGGACTGCTCGATAAACTCATTCCCGGTCCATCCAGTCAAACTCTACGTTCATGCCCTGTTTTCAAAACAATGCGTAAATCATGGTTACTGTCTTAAATACAAGCGTAATATTATTTCTTCGTGCATCGCACGGGCCACGTACTAGTATATATAAAGAGGTTGTTGGAAAAATACCTTAATAGAAAGTTTGACCAAATAAATATAATGTTTGACTTACTATTAATGGAAAGTTTGAAAAAACACATGTAAATCTTTAGTAACAAAATATGAATTCTATTTTTTTGGTAACAATTTTGGAGATTCTTATGACAAAATTTGAATTCCATTTTTCGTGTCATATTTTACTTTTTTACCAAAATTTAAATCATATCTTTTTTGGTAACAAAATTGAAAATTCTTATGCAAAACAATGTGAATTATTTATAAAAAACAATTCTAAATACAAATTAATTTAAAAACCGTGCAAATTGGATACAAATTTATAAAACAAATAGTGTATAATTCTTTACCAATTCTTCCAATCTTATTGAATAATTTCTTCTTTAATAAAAAGTATGTAAATTGGATAAATCCACGTGTAATTTTATTATAAAATAAATTGATATTTGGACGGGAAGTACATTCAAAATTGTGTCCACATTTTTTTGTAACAAAAGCGGTTCATCTTTGATATTTAAAGTCACCTTATCCAATTATTTAGAAAAAATTGTGTGTAACTTTTCAAAATTTAAATGCATCGATTTTTTTGGATTCTTATGTTTTTTCTTAACCATGTTTTACTGAGATTTTGGTAAGTTTATATCTGATGAGCCAAAATAATTGACTCACCGAGATTGCCGGTCGAACCGCCTCATCTCGTTTGCGTGAGAGTTCGGACATCTCGATCGCCTTCGTCTTCAAGAACCGGATCGACCTGCAAAGCACCGGGGCGGCGCCCCGGCGTAGACACTCCGACGCTCAAGTCAGAAAACAGATATTTTGATCGTGTATTTTTCGTAATCTTAAGAGCTTGGGATTAGAAAATAAACCTGGTCCCTTATTTATAAGGGGTTTAATGACTTACTCCCCAAGATAATGCGTTTCCTTAATAAACAAGAACTCTGATACTCCTCAATAATTGTGTAGATGTAGATATACACCAACTTTCATGAATATCTTTAATTAATACCGTGTATCACATAAATTAGCTCTAAGCTTCCTTAGACCGGCCTATCCGAGCTAACCGCTCAGGCTGGTCCACCGAGTTATTTTTCATGCTACATCATCTAGCCCCCCCACTCTAGACAAGCTTATGAATATGAGACTTGTCTAAGAGTAGAACAATCATGTCTCGCCCAAGTGTATATCGTAGGACTACAACGTGAAGGTCCTGGGCTCGTCTAGCCCCCACAGCCTACCATGTCGGAGTTCTGCAGCCATCTGCATGCACCTATGGCTCTTGGGCTAACTTTGCACTTTCATTGCCTTTGTGGCCCCCGAATAATATGCTCGATGTTCTGCCACGTTAAAACGCTTGACATTCGCACTATCTGCTCGAGTTGTTACAATGACTCCCATATCTACGGCCTCCCGAGCTCTACAAGCTCGGGCACCGCTACGGGCTAATTACCCTTGATCTAGCTACAAATGAAAGGACCCACTGTCGGGCTCCGAGAACTTGAGCAACGCCACGACAGACTTTCGCCCTGAATTTGGCTACGATTCTGAGGACCCGCTGTCGATCACATAAACACAACGATACTGGTGAGCTTATAAACACAAATGATACTGCCGAGCACAACGATACTCCCGAGCTTATAAACACAACGACCATCCTGTCCTGATGCGGCGACGAGTTTAACTTCATGTTGGGCTAAGATAGGCTCGGTAATCGTTCAAATTGGACTGCCGAGCTCCGCGAGCTCGAGCGACGTCTTCAATAGGCTTTCGCCCTATCTCGACCACCACTGAGCTCCACGAGCTCGAACGACGTCTCCAACAGGCTTTTGCCCTAAATTTGGCCACTGCCGAGCTCCGCGAGCACGAGCAACGCCTTCAATAGGCTGTCTCGACCACCGCTGAGCTCCGCGAGCTCGAGCGATGTCTTCAGCAGGCTTCCCCAACCACCGTTGAGTTCCACGAGCTCGAGCGATGTCTTTAGCAGGCTTTCTCGACGACCGTTGAGCTCCGCGAGCTCGAGCGACGTCTTCAACAGGCTTTCTCGACAACCGCTGAGCTCCGCGAGCTCGAGCGATGTCTTCAGCAGGCTTTCTCGACCACCGCTGAGCTCCGCGAGCTCGAGCGACGTCTTTAGCAAGCTTTCTCGACCACCGCTAAACTCCGCGAGCTCGAGCGATGTCTTCAGCAGGCTTTCTCGACCACCGCTGAGCTCCGCGAGCTCAAGCGATGTCTTCAGCAGGCTTTCTCGACCATCGCAGAGCTCCGCGAGCTCGAGCGACGTCTTTAGCAAGCTTTCTCGACCACCGTTGACTCCGCGAGCTCGAGCGATGTCTTCAACATGCTTTCGCCCTATCTCGGGCACCGCCGCAGCGATCTTTTGGAACACGCATCTAGGCTACGAGTACGAGGACTCGCTCCCGAGCTCCGCGAGCTCGGGCAACACCGCAGCGATCTTTCAGAACTCGCATCTAGGCTACAAGTACGAGCACTCGCAACAAGCTCTCCATGCTCTTTCGTGCACCTATGGCTCTCGGCCAACCCTGCACTTATCTTAGCATCACAAAAA